AATGTTTGTGTAATTTATCACAAATGTTTGTTTCCTTTATTGTAAGATGATGAGTGTTTTGCCTCTCTAATAGTGATTAAAATTCTCTTAAGTGCTTCGAATTTTTCATTATAGTCTCTCAGAGAATTTATTCATTCATATGACATCACCAATGATAATAAGACCTACATGTTTCCAGTCTTTTATTTCCAGCTGCCTTTCAGGTTAGATATCCTGCTGTCACCTCAAGCCCAATAGTAGACTTATCTTCTTTTCCTACCTAAAACAGCTTCCTCTTGACTTCGCCTTCAGTAGCCATATACTTATTAATCACACATGCTAAAAAACCTTAGGGTCATCTTTGATTCATCTCCTTGATCTAGTTGTGCAACAAATTTTTTTGATTACATTCCAAAATCTTTCTCTACCAGTTTGTTCCCTGTTCCCATTTCCACCTGTTAACGTTCTTATTTAGCTATCCTTCAAAGCCCAGCTCACCTGCTAGCTCTGTGAAGTTTTCCATGGTACCTCCAGGTAGAAATGATTTTTTTTCCTCATCTAAACTCATAGCACTTTGATTTTTACTGTATTTTAGTCTATATTGACTTTTTTTTACTCTATCTTGGGAATCTGGCATTTTTGTATCTCCCCTGGAGAAGTATGGTAGTTAGACACCTGGCCATGGAGCCAAGAAGACTTGGCTTCAAGTCCTACCTCTGATAATTATAATAAATTATAAGACAATACGTCAGAGATGCTGATCTGCATTAGTGGGAGTTTTCATGCTGGGAGTTCTCTACATTGATGAAATCACAGATCAGGACTAAAAAAAAAATTTACTCCATTGTCTAGTATAACACTACATTCCACATATTAGGCACTTAATAAATGTTAGCCAAATAAATCTGTCAAATTCACCTCTCCTTCCTATTTGTATTACCCTACTGCATGCAGGAACTCATTACAATATATATGCCTTACTAAAACAACCTCCCTGCTAGCCTCTCTGATTTAGTCTTTCCCTCTCCAAACAGACAAATATTCCTTAAGTACTTTTTTCACATCATTCTTATGTCTAAAATCTTCAGTGGCTCACTTACCCTTTCCTTCTTTCCCCTTTCTGAGCTTCTCTATTACTGTTGAGGGTGCCACCATTGTTGTAATACCTAAGTTTACAAATTTAGTGTCATCCCCAACTGCTTACTTTCATTCACCACACCATCCAATTAGTTGTGAAGTCGTGATTTCTGTCTCTGCATCTTTTTCATAGTCTCCTCTTTGCTACTTACATTATCACAAAAACACTAGTTCAGACCTTCATCTTCTTTCACCACTGTCTTCTCATCAGTCTTCCTGCCTCAAGCCTCTGCCCCAGTGTGATTCATCTGCCATGTAGATGCCAAAATGATTTTTCCTCAGGTTCTGGTCTGACCATATCGTCCCGCTACTCAGGAAACTTTGGTGGCTCCCTCTCACCTCTGGGGTCAAATAGAAACTCTGATATTTGCCATTTAAAGTTCCTCCACAATCTAGACCTTCCTGCCCTTCTAGTCTCCTTACATATTACTTCCTTCCACATACTCTACAATCCAGCCTTACTGTCCTACTCTCTGTTCCACATACACAACACTCCTTTTGTTTTCAGTTCTTTGTTTGGCCTTCCCCTGTGCCTGGAATACCCTCCCCTCTGACCTCTGCCTCCTGAAATTCCTAGTTTCTTTTAAGACTGCTCAAATGCAGCCTTCTAGTTGAAGCCTTTCCAGATCCCCCCAGCTATTTAGTGTGCTTCCATGCAAAGCTCCCTTCTGTTCATTTTGCATATATTGTACATATGTTTCTGTTAGTCAATCAACAAGCATTTCCTTTAACATCGACTATGTGTCCGGCAGTGTGCTAGGTGATAGAGCGACAGATACAGAAAGTGAAACAGAGGCAGCTAGTTGGCACGGTGGATAGAGCACCGGCCTTGAAGTCAGGAAGACCTGAGTTCAAATGTGGCCTCAGACCAAACACTTGACACTTACTAGCCATGTGACCCTGGGCAAGTCACTTAACCCCAATTGCCTTAAAAAAAAATGAAACAGTCTCTATTCTCAATGAGCTTATATTCCACTGGGGGAGCCAAAGCACATATATAAGCACATACGTATTTATTTTGCATTTATTTGTATATATTTGTGTTTATTAATACAAAATCAGTACAAGTAGTGAAACGTAAGGTAGGTAGAGACAAAAAACACTTAAAATTAGGATCAGGAAAGACTTTGTGTAAAAGATAGTATATATACACACACATGCACGTGTGATGGTCTCTCTGTTAGAATATAAACTACATGAAATCAGGAACTTTTTTTTTTTAATTTTGTTACGCTTAGCATTTGTCAGTGCCTGGCACAAAGTGAGTTTTGAATAAAAGGCTTTTAAAAATGTATTTATTCATTTTTAATTTTCAGCATTCACTTCCATAATATTTTGAGTTCCAGATTTTCTCCCCATCTCTCCCCCTCTCCCCACCTCTAGATGGCATGCAATTTGACATAGGTTCTACATATACATTCATATTGAACCTATTTTTTTACAGTAGTCATGTTGTAAAGAATTAGGACCAATGGGAGAAACCATGAGAAAGAAGAAACAAACAAAAAAAGAATAAAAAGAGAGAGAGCAAATAATATGCTTTGATCTGCATTTAGACTCCATAGTTCTTTTTCTGGATGTGGACAGCATTTTCTATCATGAGTCTTTTTGGAGTTGTCTTGGATCCTTGCATTGCTAAGAAGAGATGAGTCTATCAAAGTTAGTCGTTGCACACTGTAGCTGTTACTGTGTACAATGTTCCCCTGGTTCTGCTTACTTCACGCAGCATCAGTTCATTCAAGTCTTTTCCAGATTTTTCTGAAGTCTGCCTGCTCATCATTTCTTATAGCACAATAATATTCTGTTATATTCGTATGCCACAACTTGTTCATCCATTTGCCAGCTGATGGGCATCCCCTCAATTTCCAATTCTTTGCCAGCACAAAAAAGAGCTGTTATAAATATTTTTGTACATGTGGGTCCTTTTTCCATTTGCATGATCTCTTTGGGATACAGATCTAGAAGTGTGATTGCTGGGTCAAGGGATATGCACATTTTTATAACCCTTTGGGCATAGTTCTAAATTGCTCTCCAGAATGGTTGGATCAGTTCACAACTCCACCAACAATGCATTAGTGTTCCAGTTTTCCCACATCTTCTCCAACATTTGTAATTTTCCTGTTTTTTAATGTTAAAAGCTTTTTTAAAAAGTGGTTCAAGGCCCTCCACAATCTGATCCCATCCTGTTTATCAAATATTCTTGTTTCAGATTACTCTGTAACATTTACCGTCTGTTCTAGTCTGTGTGGTGTCCTCATTATCCTATCAACATGCCATGCTTATTGCTGCTTCTACTCATATTCTTTTTTTTGCTTTAAAAAAATGAGTTTTATTTCTTTTTATAAACAAATTTATTAGTTACTTATTTTTAATTTTTTTAACTCTGTAGAAATCTTTTTCTCGTTTATTAGTGTTTTTCTGTAATTACATGTAAAGATAGTTTTCAACATTCATTTTTATAAGATTTTGAACCCCAAATTTTTCTTCGTCCCTCCCTCTTCCCTAAGATAGGAAGCAATCTGATACAGGTTGTACATGTACAATCATGTTCATGAGAAAAAAAAACAAAAAACAAAATAAATAAAAGTAGTATGCTTCGATCTGCATTCGATCTGTGGTTCTTTCTCTGTATAGCATTTTCCATCATGAATCTTTTGGAATTGTCTTAGATTGTTGTATTGCTGAGAAGAGCTAAGTCTGTCACAGTTGATCATTGCACAATGTTGCTGTTACTGTGTACAGTGTTCTTCTGCTTCTACTCATGTCACTTTGCATCGGTTCATTTAAGTCTTCCTAGTTTTTTCTGAAATCATCTTGCTTATCATTGCACATTAGTATTCCATCACAATCCTATAACACAGCTTGTTCAGCCTTTCCCTAATTCATGGGCATCCCCTCCATTTCCAGTTATTTACCCTCACAAAAGGAACTGCTATAAATATTTTTGTACTTAGAGGTCCAATTCCTTTTTCTTTGATCTCTTTGGGATATAGAACTAGTTTGGTATTGCTGAGTCAAAGGGTATATAACCCTTTGAGCATGGTTCCAAATTGCTCTCCAGAATCATTGAAATAGTTCACAACTCAACTAACAGTGCATTAGTGTCCCTATGATTCCACATCCCCTCCAGCATTTGTTATTTTCCTTTTCCATTATATAAGCTAATCTGATAGGTATGAAGTGGTAACCCAGAGAGTTTTAATTTGCATTTCTTCAATTACTAGTGATTTAGAGCATTTTTATAGGTATTCATTGCTTTGTTTTCTTCTTCTGAAAACTGCCTGTTCATGATTTTTGACTATCAGTCAAGGAGTGGCTGTTAATTTTATAAATTTAACTCGGTTCTATATATATATTGGAGAAATGAGGCTTTTAACAGAGAAACTTTCAGTAAAAAAAATTTTCCCCAGTTTCCTCCTTTCCTTCTGATCCTGGTAACATTGGATTTGTTTGTACAAAACCCTTTAAATTGCATCGAATCATGAGTATCCATTTTACTTCCCATGATATATTTGTTCTCTCTCTGTCTTACCTTCCCCCTCCCCTTCTCCCTCCCTCCCTCCCTCTTTCCTCACCTTGTTTGGACATAAATCCCTCCCTTATCCTTAGATATGGTAGGTAAATTTTCCATGCACTCCAATTTGTTTTGGACTTATTTGATAAAGTGTGAGATATTACTCTGTGTATACCTAGTTTCTGCCAAACTCCTTTCCAGGTTTACCAGCAATTTTTTTTCAAGTAGTGAGTTCTTCCCCCGAAAGCTTGAATCTTTTGATTCATCAAATACTAGATTATCATAGTCATTTGCTGCTATGTGTTTTGTACCTAGTGCCTTATAGTAAGTTCTTTTTTTTTTCTTTCTCCTTCATTTTGTTTATTTGAAGAGCCTCCAACATGCTCCCCTCAGCAGTTTACATGTTTCACTGGAGAAATTGACTGCATCCCTGTGGCTTGGAGATGTGATGGATTCACTGAATGTGAAGACCACAGTGATGAGCTAAATTGTCCTCTCTGCTCAGAGTCCCAGTTTCAGTGTGCTAGTGGGCAGTGCATTGATGGTGTCCTTCGATGCAATGGAGATGCAAATTGCCAAGACAAGTCAGATGAGAAGAACTGTGAAGGTAAAATACTTTTCAGGGTATGTCAAAAGCATGGGTTAAAAAATTGGAATCCGGGGCAGCTAAGTGGCGCAGTGGATAGAGCACTGGCCCTGGAGTCAGGAGGACCTGAGTTCAAATCCATCCTCAGACACATAACACTTTTTAGCTGTGTGACCCTGGGCAAGTCACTCAATCCCATTGCCTAACCCCCCCAAAAACAAATTGGAATCCTTTTCGTTTGAATTAATTATTTTGGTTCGGCTATAAAGAATAGGCTTCTCGAGTGCCTTGTACTAAATTATTTCTGAATATAGTACTGTGGACATTTTCTTTCATTTATCAGGCATAAGAAGTACTAATTGTACAGTGTAATTGTCATTAAAAAATTAAAAATGGGACTAGGTTGCAAAAGAGGGATGTTTATTTTAGAGTCTGCATTTGAAAAGAAACTTAGTCTTTGGTCAAGATACTCTAGATTTATGGGGCTCAATTCCTTGAGAAGAGCAAACATTCCACTTACTTTTCTCATCCTCTCTCTTTAACAGAACCAAAAAAACTAGCTCTCTTTAGCATAGACAGCATTGAAAATAGAAGTTGAGTAAGAACAAAATGGGAAATTACTGATGGATTTATTTTCATTCTTTTTATTCCTGTATATTCTCACTCCACCTATGAAAATACTGTGGAGTTTTTCTCAGGTCATTTCTAGCAGTATAGTTACTTTTTCTTTGTACTTCCTGAATACTTGCTTCAGAATTTTTGCCAGATTGTGTTTTAAATAATTGTGACAATTTTTTTGCATTTTGTCTAGTGCTTTGTTTAATTGATCAGTTCCGTTGTACCAATGGACAGTGCATTGGAAAGCACAAGAAATGTGATAATAATGTGGACTGCAGTGACAAGTCAGATGAGCTAGATTGTTGTAAGTGGGGTTATAATCCTTGAAATCACCATTAAAAGGGGAGGGAAAAGGAGAAGGGGAATCATGTAATGTTTTTAAAAAATATAATACTTTTTGTTCTTCCTCTTCTTACCATGATATTCCATCCCAATAATATATTAATGGTAAGATAAACTCCTTCCACTGATTATTGTGTATCTTACAGATTTACAAATCCATAAATACTCTGTATTTTAACTTTTTCAATATGCTGAGCAGTTTTGCTTCCCAGTATTTTATTTCATTCCTGCTTTACTTATGGCTGATTAAACTTGAGTGTTTGTTAAATTAAGAGAACATATATGCTTTGAATCTGTATGCTTATGTGCATATATGTGTGCATTTATTGCATATGCTTAGAAAAGGAAAAAAAACAACTGCTGGGCGGGGTCATTTCCGTTGAGTTTTGTAATTCAGCCTTTTGTTAGAATGCTGTAGTTCATTCTTTTTTATTTCATATTACATTTTTTTAAATTAACAAACTTTTTTTTTCACTCAAACCAAAAAGCCACCCTCCCCATTGAGAAAAAAAACCAAAACCTTTTAAGCAAGTATGATCACTATGTTGGCCATGTCCAAAGATACATTTCTCATTCTGCAACATGAATCCATCTCCTCTTTGTCAGGAAGTGGGCAGGATGTATCATTATTGATCTCCTGAATCGTGGTTTTGTCATTGCATTAATTAGAGTTCTTAAGTCTTTCAAAGTCATTTGTCTTTATAATGTTGTTGCTGTTAGAATTTAGCTTCTAGTTCTACTTATTTTGTTTTGCATCAGTTCATATAGGTCTTCCCAGGTTTCTATAAAACAGTCCTTTTCGTCATTTCTTGTGGCACATAGTAGTATTCTATTACATTCATATACTAAAATTTGTTCAATTAATAGACTTCCATTTCCAGTTATTAGCCATCATAAAAAGAGTTGTTATAAACATTTTTTATACCTGTGGTTTCTTTTCCTCTTTCTTTGATCTCTTTGGGGTATAAGCATCATAGTAGTATTGCTGGATCAAAGGGTAGGTACAATTTATTAATTTGGGAGGCATAGTTCTAAGTTCATTGCTAGAATTGCTGAATCAGTTCACAGCTCCACTAACAGTGCATTAGTCTGTCTGTTTTCTCCAGTTTCTCTGTCATTTTCTTGACCCTTTAGTGAACCAATTCAACTCTACGCTGTCCCTGAGACTTATCTTACTTCTCTTCTTGCCCTACCAAGCTTCCGTTTTGGTTTATTTCCATCATCCACAGTTTGCTCCTACTCATGTGTTGCTGAAGGAGGAAGAGAAAAATCACAAAACTGTGCTGACATCATTTTGATTAGAACCTCATTAGGGCAAGGCAATCCTTTCCACTATCCAACTCATTGTAATAGCTTTTTCAAACTTTTTCATCCCTCCTTAAACCTTCCATGCCTTCCCTACCCCTGTATTCTCAGCTGAGAAATTTGCCTCATATTTCACTGAAAAAATTGAGACTATTTCCCAACAGCTCCCTCTTACCTCTTCCTCCTTATCTCACATCCCTCAGAGGCTTTTCTTCGCTCACATCTGTCTCACATGAAGAGATGGTCCTTCTCTTTGCCAATATAAACCCCTTTCCCTTAATACCTGCCTTACCAGTCCTCAGTCTCCTTTGCTGGTTCTTCATTGTCCCCCATGGCTTAATCCCAGGCCCTCTTCTCTTCTCTTCTCTTTTTATACTGTTTCACTTGATGATTACATCAACTCTCTGTGGATTCACTTATCATTTCTATACTAATGATTCTAAGGTCTGCCTACCCAGACTTACCTAGCTGGAGGCCTCTGTTTACCTCTGGTCTTGAATCTCCAGCTACGCATTGGATATCTCGACCTGGATGTTCTATACACATCTTAAACTCAACATGTTTAAAACTGAATTCATAATCTTTTCAAACTCTTCCTATTTTTATTGTCCTTCCTGTTTATTTCCTATTATACCATCCTCCCAGTCACTCAAGATCATAACCTATGTCATCTTTGACCTCTCTCTCACTCCCTGTTCTGTTCTACCTCTCTCATGTGTACACACACACACACACACACACACACACACACACACACACACACACATATGTCCTTCTCTCCTCTGACACCTGCCTGATCCAGGACCTCATCAGCTAATGCTTCAGCTACTGCAGTAGCCTTCTGGTTGTTCTCTCTGCTTCAAGTCTCTCTCCACTCCAGTCCATACCCTATTCAACTGTCAAATTGATCTTCCTAGAGAAAAGGTCTGACTATACCACCTCTCCTGTTCAGTAAACTCCAGTAAATCCATATTACTTCCAGAATCAAATATGAAATCCTCTCTTTGGCTTTTAAAGTTCTTCACAGCCCAGTTCTTTCTTATCTTTCCCAGTTTTCTTCCACTGTCCTACCCTCCATGTATTTTTCAATCTAGTGACACTGGCTTCCTTGCTGTTCCTCTCACATATACTCTATCTCCCAATTCCATGAATTTTCAAGGTTGTCCCCCATGTCTGGAATTCTCTTTCTTTCAATCTGCATCTCCTTCAGATCCCAGCTAAAATCCTACCTTCTACAAGAATCCCTTCCAAGACTTGTTTAATCTTAATACCATTCCTCTAAGATTATCTCCATTTTATCCTGGAATAGGTTGTTTGCACATAATTGTTTGCATACTCGTGCCCCTAATAGGCCTAATAGAAAGGCATTAGACTGTGCGGTACTTAGGAATGGGTCCCAGGTTTGTTTTTGTTTTGTGGCCTTTCCTTGTTTCCCCAGCATTTAGTACAGTGTCTGGCCCATAGTAGGCACTTAGTAAATGTTTGTTTACTTGACTGGGTAGTATGCTGCTTTTTTTTAGAGAATTCTTGTCTTCTCCATTTCAGATCCAACTGAAGAGCCAACCCCACAGGCCACCAATACAGTCGGCTCAGTGATCGGAGTGATCCTCACTATTTTTGTGTTTGGAGCCATGTACTTTATCTGTCAGAGGGTGTTCTGTCCACGAATGAAGGGAGATGGGGAGACAATGACAAACGACTATGTAGTTCATGGACCAGCATCTGTGCCCCTTGGTTATGTGCCTCATCCTAGTTCTCTGTCAGGTTCTCTTCCAGGTGAGTTAGACTGGAGGGCTACTGTGGTGAAAATCAAATTCCATTATAATATTGTTTCTTAGTAGTGTACAATGAATTAAAAAAAATAAATGTTGTTGTCTTTCCTTTTCCTGTTCTTCACACAAGGTATGCTTTATGAAAATTACTACAAATATGTAATAAAATAATTCTCAATTTTTATTTGCTATTTTATTTGCCACCGGTAGGTGGTTCCCTTTGCTTAAAATGAGGTCAGCATGTCCATGTAGTTGGAGAAGGGGAAGAAGTAATAAATTACTACAGGCTTACTATTGGAGGGAATCCCAGGGGTCCTAAAGCTAGAGAAGAAATAGAGGGCAAGAAAATAAGCCAATTAAGAAGTCTTTCTGCACCTGGAATAATCGGGAGATATAAGAGAGAGCCCTAACTAGATATGACAGCACTGGGATGAGGTTTCCTTTCTTCGGGAACAGCCAGAAATACCAGAGGCTGACCAAAGAGGTAGAGGGAAATGTTTAAATATGGAATTAGAATTTCCCTTTCCCAAGTAACTGCTCAGTTTCCTTAATGATAAAAAGAGAAATGCCACTCCAGAGGCTTTCTGAGGGCATTCCTGTAAGCAGATTTTCAGAAGTTTCATTAATTGTAATAATAGTGATCATCATCATTATTTATCAAATCATCTAAAGAATTTGGGGTATTGCCAGAAATATACATAGACTTTTATCTTTACCCTCTGTTATGTGGCTCTGAAAATTCTGTTTCTACCAGCCAGCATAAGCATTTTCTTTCAACTCTGTCTTTATACCTAAAAATTGTTTTCTCTTCAATAAAAATATTGCTGAAATTCCTCTTTACCCCCAAGAGATTTTCAGGGCTGTTTATGGGGAAGAACTTAGATGTTTCTCCCTCTCTCCTTCCCTCACTCTATCCCCCCATAGAGCTAGCTCAAACCCTTAGGTTTAATGACAGCTGTCAAATTAAAACAGCATACAATTAATTCAGTTGTAGAATCATGTCTACTCTTTCCATTTAGGTATGTCAGAGTAAATGTATGGAAGAAAGAGTTTATATTATTATTTTGTGTGTTTTCATTATTAGGTTTACAGGATTGAGTAATCTTATTGATTTTTGAAGTTTGAAAACTAATTAATGCATTGTTTTCCCTTTTTTGTTCTAGGAATGTCCCGTGGCAAATCAATGATTAGTTCCCTCAGTATCATGGGTGGAAGCAGTGGACCACCTTATGACAGGGCTCATGTCACTGGAGCATCATCTAGTAGTTCTTCAAGTACAAAGGGCACCTACTTCCCTGGGGTAAATGTTCTCTTTAGTATTTCCTATATTCTTCCTTTGCTTCTGTAATAGCACTCTTTCTCTTGAAAAATGAGCTACAACTTTAAAATAATATATCTTCAAATGGGGAGGGGGGGAGAGATAAGCTTACACTGGAAAACTGCATGAAATTAAGAATATTTATTTTCAATTTTTTTTTTACATTTCCATTCAAATTTAGATATCTTGTTCATTTTTGTAACAATATCTTAATCAGTTTTGATGATGCATCATAGCAGGGTCTTTGTGGTTTTATCAGTTCCTAGGATGAAAATTACTGGTTTTAAAATTAAGTAGATGAGACTATAAGGAAGAAGTTTATCTTCCTATCCAATAAGTCTGACTTTTAAACTTAACTATAAAATGAACAAGTCTCTCTAAGAACTAGGTTGAGTGCCTAAGGCTTATAGAATAAAATAATTATCAGTTAAGGGTCCTGAGGATGCTGGAAGCCATTCATTCCGTGAAACTGGTCAAATAAGGGAAAGTATTATCACAAATTTTCCTTTTTGAGTATCTATTCTAATGTCAGCAACTCTGCCCTGAATAGTTATAACTTAGAATCATTTGGACAGACCTCTTACAAATTGTGTTTTTGTCTCATTATCTGTGTTAAAATTCTTTCATATTAAATGAAATTTATATGTTGACTATAGAATTCACATTTTGTTATCCTTTATGATTGTTTTTAAAGGGTACTTTTGTGAAGTGGAATATATGCTTAGGGGATAGAAATTAGGGGGGGAAACCCAGTTATCCTTTTCTGTGTTAGAGTGATTCTGTTTAATTATTTATATCATGTTTCTTTTCAGATTTTGAACCCTCCACCATCCCCAGCCACAGAGCGTTCACATTACACCATGGAATTTGGCTATTCTTCAAACAGTCCTTCTACTCATAGATCTTACAGGTAATATAGTTCTTTTCTACCCTCACATGTAGCTTCTTCCTTCCTCCATCATTCGTTCTTAGCATAAGTCAAGGTGTTTATATAGAGGAAAGTAGAGTAGAAGTAAGAAGAAGTACGTAATGGTCACAGGGCCAGGAGCAGGTGTAGCTTCTGTGGCGCTAACATAACAGATTCATATTCTTTTAATGTACTGTGATTTTCCCTCTAGAATGCTAGCCCCAGGGAGAGCTGTGATAGAACAGCAACACTGGTAGTCAGGAGCTTTGAGAATCAGCCCAACAGGTTGTGAGACTTGTGGGTTTTCCTTCTTTTAGCTGCGATTTCTTCTGAGGCAAACCCTAAAGGAAATGGAATGTTAGGATCCTTGAACATTTGCATGTGACCAAGATAACTCAAGAATTCTGACATCAGTTATTTTATTTTGTGCTTGAGCCTTGCCTTGTTTCACCTTCATAACCCCTATTGCTCTCTTCACCCCCACCCCCCACTCCCCACATACACACCATACATACTTTTTCACCTTCATTGGCCTTCATCCAACAAAAATTGTAGATTATGTAGAATACCTTGATTGGAACTGTTAATGAGAAAAAGATAGTTATGGCTTGTTTGGGAAAATGGGAGCAGGACAAATAAAGAAGTAGCTGTTGAATCAACTTAATCTCCATTTTCACTAGCAACTTCACTTTCTTCCCAGTATCTCGGTCTTTACTTAGCCATATCACTGAGTATAGGAGTCAGAAGATGTGGTTTCTAATTCCAGCTCTACCACTAACTAGCTGTGTGACCTTGGACAAATCATTGATCTTTTCTGACCCCCTCAGTACCTTCATCTATAAAATGGGCTAAATGATTTCTAAGTTCTGTTCTAGTTTTCATATTCCATAAAGTATAAAATGAATAATTTTTAAGAGTTAGGTGACAAAGAAGATAAAGTGGGGCAGCTAGGTGGTGCACTGGCCTAGGAGTCAGGAAGACCTGAGTTCAAATCTAGTCTTAGACAAGACCCTTGACATTTACTAGCTATGTGACCCTAGGCAAGTCACTTAACCCCAATTGCCTCGTGCAAAAAAAGATAAAGCGAAAGCCCGACATGATAGTGAATAATTCTTTTAACTGCTCCAATATGAATAATCAGATTTTTCTCGTACGTACTCAGAGAAGTTTCTGTGTTTAAAAAAACCCCAACAATCTATTATCGTTCATATAATAACCACAACAATAGCAACAGCTAGTATTTATATAGCACTTTAAGGTTGGCAAAGTGCTTTACAAATATTATCTCATTTTATCTTCATGAAAACTCTGTGGAAAGTACTTCTTGTTATTGTCTCCATTTTACAGATGAAGACATTGTGGGGCAGGAAAAGGTTAAGCAGCTTGCCTAGGATCACATAACTGGCAAGTGTCTGAGGTAGGCTTTGAACTTGGGTCTGACTCTAAGTGTAGGACTACTCAAGGCACAACTTCACTGCCTCACAGCCAGGATGTATATTGGCCAGCATGTTTCCAAGGTCTTTTTTCCTTTATAAGCAGTCCATGTTACTACCCTGCTGATAAGTGGGGTGGTTTATGCACTTTCTAATGTGTAAACATACCCACGTGTACACCGTTTTCCTTTTTTTCCCCTCCTTCATGGTTTCTGTTGTCTTTTTCCCTCCCCAGTGAAAAATTGTCTTAAGAGGCTTGGGCTGATGTGCATGGTTGGAATAATGTTCTTTCAAGCATTTTCCTGTCTGAGTTTTTCCTTCCACAGCAAAGTAATTCTAATACCGTTTGTGATGAAGACCCATCACTTCTGTGCAGTGGAAACCATCCTCTGTTCTTTCTTTCTCCTAGCTACAGACCGTACAGTTACCGCCACTTTGCACCTCCCACCACCCCATGCAGCACTGATGTCTGTGACAGCGACTACGCTCCAAGCCGGAGAATAACTGCCGCAGCCGCAGCCAAGGGCTACACCAGTGACTTAAACTATGACTCTGAGCCTGTGCCCCCACCTCCCACTCCACGGAGCCAGTACCTGTCAGCCGAAGAAAACTATGAAAGTTGCCCCCCTTCCCCTTACACAGAGAGGAGCTACTCTCATCACCTCTACCCACCTCCACCGTCCCCCTGTACAGACTCCTCCTGAGGAGAGCCCCCCCCTCCTCTGACTGCCTCCAGTGTAAAGTGTAAATACAAATTGGGTGAGATCTGGAGGGGGGGGAGGGAGCTGTCAGAGAAAGGTGAGGCAGACTGTGTACAGATAAGAGTTTTAAATGGGGTGGGGAATACTGGAGATATTTGTACAGAAGAAAAGGATATTTATATATTTTCTTAACAGCAAAGTTGCTGCTTGTGCCATAAAAAAAATTTGTATAAAATAAATTTGTACTAAAAATTTTTATTTTTACAAACTGAACACACAAAACATGCCTTAAACCCAGGGAAGTGACTGTGAATATACATAGGAAACAGAAAGACAAGGGTGAATCACTGTCTAGTAAGATGTGGGCTTTGTTGATACCAAAAAAAGAAAAAAGGTCCATGACCATCTCAGAGTAGCAAACCATAGGTACTTTGAAGTTGCTAATTATCCTTCATGTTAACTATGGAGAGTCAGCAGCTAAAGTTTAAATATGGGGTAGGAGAAAGAAAAGTTACTAACAAAGGGCTTTGTTTTCTATAGGAAATACAGTGATTTCAGCAATGAAAATATATATATACTTTAAAAATAGTCCATTTTATGATGATTTCTTTTGGGAAGAGTATATCAGTTGTCCAGTATCATGTCACACAGTTGTGTGTGTGTTCATTTATCTCACACACACAGACGCACCCATCTCTACCCTGGAACTTCCATCTCTGTTTGAAACTAATATTCTCCTTAGGCCATCTGTCCTACCTCCTTTCCCTGACAGTCAGTCCTATGGATGCTTTAGCCAAGATGCCATGATTTATTTTTTTAAAAATTATTTTCCAGCTAATAATAGAGGAGTTTTCTAATTGAAATTTTTTTTGTAATCGTTTCCATTTCCCAGTAGTCTCAGTTTTCCTGCTTGACTCTTTCTTCTGCATAATGTTCACAAGTTTAACATTTCATTATCCATTTCCCTTCCCAAGATATCTTTCCTTCAGTGCTCACAGATATGTCAATATTTTCTATGACATATGTTATAGACAGTGTTTATGAATTATAAATTTAGTCTATTGTAAATTAATCATATATCCTTGCAGTACTTTCAGTGTATATCACAATATAAATCATTTTATATAAATATATATATTTTCTGAGTACAAAGCATTTAAACCTATTGGAGACAATCTATTAAAATAATGAACTCATTGGAAGGGTTTTCCCAGCTATATATTAACTCTGTTCTTTCATGTTCAGTAAGCCAGTTTTCTCAGCATGACTTTTACATACCTCTTCTTGTGTGGCATGCGTTTAATACTTTAGTGTTTTCCACTGTGAATATTAGGGTGGTTGTTTTTTTTCCAGATTATCCTTAACCAAATTATTCTTAATTCACTTCATGTTTGTTTTAAAATATGTTCTCTCTCCAAACCTGTTTTGATTGAAACAGTTGGTGTTTAAGTCATTTAAACAAGAAATCTGTTTGGACTGAATGGGAAGGTGAACTATTTTATTTGTTGAATCTTAAAACTGAGGTGGAAGGGAAAGAGAAAAATCCTTTATATTCAGTCTGCCAAGGTATTGAGGCTGCTCCATCCTTAGTCATCAGGGACAAGATATGGTCTGATCTCAGCACTGCCACCTTACATGTTTCCAGTTCCTTTCTGCTAAAAAATGAATAGACTTAAAAGTAGCATGTTTTCATTTAAACTTGTGAAGTTTTAAGAAGTTATCTAATTTTGCTACTGTGAAAGCATGGCTCAAATCCCTGGGTTCCAGTGCCCAAGAGAAAACAGTGTAAACTGTTCAATATTTTTAGCAGGAGTGAAGTAACTTTTTTAAGTAATTGAAAATGCTTAGGTAATTAGATAATTTTAAAAAATGTTATTTCTAAGTCATCCTCAGATTATTGAAAGCAAAGAACAGGTCTTAGTACTATATTTGCATAAATGATAGTCTGTCAGCTGTCTTACAGTTCATTCAGGCAGGTGATGACCCTTCTTAGCAATGTAAAAAACAATTATGGTCTTCAGGCAGGATGGACATTGAAGGTGTATTGTGTGATATGCAAGGGGAACATGATCCGTGTGAGAAGAATAAGGTGATCAATAGCTGGGTGTCAGTCAGAATTTGAGAATTCTACATGTTTACATTTTTTTAATATGCAGCTTTACCATGTGGGGTTCCTGTGTGGGCATTTGCACTATATGAACTAAGAAGAATGTTGCCTTGTTAGACCTCAGTTCAGGTATTTGTACCACGATGGCAATGGTCTCTTCTTGCAAAATACTAATTTGTGTGCCAATTTTTATTGGAAAATAATTTGAAGGTGATTCAGCTTAGTTTCAGTATCCTCTTTCTTCATTAAAAGTTTCTGGAAGTATTTTTTGGGTAGGGCAGAATAGATAAATTTGAGTTAAGTATTGTTAGCTTTCAGCCTAGTTGGACAGTTAAGCCTAATTGAACTGCACATCAGTTATTTAACATTTATTTGACCATGAGTGACAGTGAGTGGAGTTAGTTGGAAAGGATAAATGGACACATGAGAAGTCTTATTTGCTAAATCTGAGAAGGTTTGTTTCATTTTGAATCAAGCTCTACATTTTGAAGTAAGATTTCTAGGTAGAACATGAATAAAATTCGTTTTATTTTGGATTAACAGATTAGTATTAAAGTATTTTGTGGTGGTGTTTTTTTGTTTTTGTTTTTCACATCATGAAGTATGCCTCTCCTGTGTGTTGGATAGCAACATAATGTGTTGGAAATAGCACTGGACTGGGAATCAGTAGACCAGGGTTCTTGTTTTAGTGGCTTCTAAGGTGCCTTTTAAAGTCTATGATTCTTTGATTATATGATTTATATAACCAGCTCGCATGCAAAAAGGCAGCCAACATGTAGTGGATGGAGAGCTGGGCTCAGAGCTGAGCAGACTTGGGCTCAAGGTTCACCTCTGACACGTGATGGCTGTGTCATCCTGTGTGGGTCACTTAACCTCTCAGTACTAGAGACAACTCTGAAATTGTAACTTGCAGAGAAAGTTGCTGACCTGCCTTGGTGAAGGGAGTTTCCTCACCTGGGTGTTCCCTGCATCAGTGAAATCACAAGTCTGGTCGCTATTCCTACCTTGCGTGAACAGAAAGCCATGGCTGTACCCTGGATATTCAGAGTTATCTGCACAGGGAAATGGCGCTTATAATCTTTACTTAGTGCAGACTGTTTTGGGGATGATTGGGAGGAAAATGTTTAAGATGATTTAAGTTTGACTTCATTCACCATTTTACAAAATCCCAAGGTTGGAGAATTAAGTTGTAACTAAAGCCAAGCATAGTGCCTAAAACATAATATGCCCATTATCAATGTTGGATTCTGGATTCTTAACATTTGTATAGCACTTTATGATTAACAAAGTGCTTTTCTCCCACGGTTGTCCCTTTGAAGTAGGCTTTTTACGAATGAGGAAACAAACACAGAGGCTTTAAATGACTTGCCAAAGGAGACATAGTAAATCAAAAGCCAGTTCTGGCTCAAAATCCAGTGTACTTTCTACTCTGTGACTTATTCTGTGGCATTTTTGTTTTCATTACAGTGTCCATTTTTAGTATTTATTCTGCCTGCTAATGAAACTTCAGTGGTTTTGTACGGTATTCATGGCACAGGAGGCATTCTGAGAGATCCTGGTTCTCACAGATGCCACTGATTTGTTGAAAATGGTTACAAGCATCAATTGTCAAAGCACAGCTCTGATGTTTTTAGTAAAGAATTTGAGATTTTCATACATTTAACACAACCTTCCCAAATTGGAAGGCCATTCAGTTGGCCTTACTGTAATGGCCTTACTATGGCCTTTTTAGTCCGCATGGCCTTGTAAGTAATCAAGGATGATACACTTGAATGGAGCACAGAGCTGATAAAAACAGGCAATAATTATATGAAAATTCAAAAAGTGCCTGTATTAGGCATTTGAGGTAAAAATACCCTCAGGGAATTTAGAGTCAAGGGGTTATAAAGCACTATTGTAAAACTTCTTATTCTTGGGAGGAAATCTATATTTCTTTCCAAACCTCTTAACCCCAAAGTGACCCTAGTCTTCCTTACGTTCACTAATATACTTGTTCATTGCTCCTGCAAGGAATAACACTTGTATCTCAATAATGACTTCTGTGATAGTGTTTATAAAAGAAGATTCAAAATTTCTCATTTTCATTTGAAATAAGCACAAAAAAGTTTTGTAAATTGATGTTTGACTAAAAGCTTATTAATAGGGAACTACATTTAGCTAAATAACGTCCTAGAGACCTTAGCCTTGAATCATAATTAAACTAGGTTTAGAACTGGAAGGAAGCTGAGGATTTCTATGTTAAGCCAAGTAACTTGAAAGTAAATGATTGCTCTAGATGGCCTCAACAAAATAGATGGTTCAGGGGCAGCCAGGTGGTGCAGTGGATAGGGCACCAGCCCTGGATTCAGGAGGACCTGAGTTCAAATATGGCCTCAGACACAAGACACTTAACTGGCTGTATGACCCTGGGCAAGTCACTTAACCCCATTGCCTAGCAAAAAAAAAAAAATGAAAACAAAATAGATGATTCAAACACCATCTATTAGTCTATATTATTCATTTGGCATGGAAGTAAATGACCAAATAAGTACAAATTTCAGCCAGTCTTCTATTAAGTAATAAATAATTTCCTTTTGTGTCGAAGGCAGCATAGACAAAAAAGTTTTGTCAGGGGCCCAGAGTTAATTGCTGACCTAAGTAGATTATATTCTTGGTATTTTCACAGCATGATTATTTTTATGATGACACCAAAGAATTAGACAGTACACATTTGCTTAACTGTCCATGCTTCATTTTAGTCCAAAGGTTGGTTGTGATTTAAAGAGTAAAAACTTTAATTCTGGTATCCTAATAAGAAGTGCATATTGAAAACAATAAGGCAATGAAGGCTGATTCTTAAATCCATTGTAACACGGTTAAATTGTTTGGGTTATTAGGGAAAATATAAATATATTTTTTATATAAAGAGGATACCAAGAAGCTTAAGCTGTACTAGCCTTGTTTGCAAATGAAGGATTTGGTGCTGCTTTCAGATGTTTATCCTTTGTGTTTTTGTTTTGTTTTTGTCTTTTTTTTTTTCATTTTTCTTGAGCTTTAATCTTTGTCATTGTCTTAAAGTCAGCTGGTAGTATTTCTTGTTCATCGACTTTGGTACGATGGTGCTTTGCAAGGATGTATTTATAATATAATGAC